ATTGAAAGGTCTTTAATTGAATTCATTGAGATTAATTGTCAATTAAATCTATAATCATTGGCTCGAATCAATTGGCTCTCGATTAGTTGAACTGAAACATATTTGATCAAATTAATTACTAAATTGAGAAAAATTTAATCGATATTTTTACAGCTTTGCTGTGGAAGCACTCCAAAGTTGTATTGTCGCTTTGTGTGACAAAATACAAAATATATTCCGGGAATTTTTGAACGTCTTCGACAATCCATAAAGCGTCAATGCAAGACATGCGGAAGGAAATTATTTTCAGTAATTTTTTTCGTGATGTGTCCTTACCAAAGTCTGTTTTCGGACCAAACGTTTTCGGACCAACGTTCATATGATCCTTTCTTCATCTTTACGATGAGTAGAACATGCTCTTTTTGCGGCTTAATTAGCATATTAATGTAAATTTGTTATAAATTTCCGCTGAGAAGAAAGTCCAAATCTTTGGACCGTTTGGTTTCATTTATTGTATATATGTCTGAAACTAAATATACTATAATTTTGTTTGCATATCGATACAGGCTCTTATTTACCTTTGTGCATTTGTTAATTGGATATCCGGAGAGCCTTTGTTATTTCCGAGAAATGTTCTTAGAGTTTTCCTATATTTCTGACTGTATCATATGTAATTACCGTGAAACGTTTATAATATATATTCCTACATTTGATATATATAGGATGTCTGAAACTTTAAGACAGCCGTAGTGTACAAGTAAAACTTGACAAACTGAACAAAAAATCCTTTACTATTTTATAGGTAATCACATAGATATTTGAGTTGTGAATCAAAGAAGATTAGTGAATAATTACACGCAATTCTTCGTTAACTTTAATTAATAACTAAGAAATATTTGTGGTTATTTACAAAATGCTGGAAGACTTGACCTAATTTGGTTGTGTACATTAATGTACAAGCAGAAAACATATTGTACACATAACTATACTCACTAATTATTTTTAATTAAGGCTCCTGGGGAGTCGCATCATCCATCTCTTTTTAATGACGTCAGAAGCGAGAAAACGCATGCTAAAAATTCCTGCAAAATACGTCGAGATAAACAGATATATCCACAAAACGACATTTGCGATCGATTAAGTACATCTCTAAAATACTCCGTACACTTTCCTTTTGTTCTAACAATCAACAGATAATTATAAAATAAATGTGACGTGCAATCGTCTTTTCTAACCTAATTTCCTCATTATCTTGTCATATTAATTTTCCGATTATCTATTGATTTTTAGAACAAAAGGAAAGTGTACGGAGTATTTTAGAGATGTACTTAATCGATCGCAAATGTCGTTTTGTGGATATATCTGTTTATCTCGACGTATTTTGCAGGAATTTTTAGCATGCGTTTTCT